TACGATGAGAAGCATTGTACTCTTACAGCAGGAGTTGACAGTCGTCGAACCACGAGTTAAAAACATCTTTGAGTCGAAGTGATAAACTTCTGATGGACATGCTATTTACTGTTTACACCGACCGCGCATCAATACATATTTAATTGGTAATACAGTGAAGATTATTTCAAAGGTGTTTGTAACGAAAAGTTATACCGTTTTATGTTCACTAATACTTAAAAATCATGTTTAATAATGAATAGATTAAATTGTTTTGATGAGAAATATCAGGAGGATTGGGTGATATTCTTCTTATTGTTAAAGATGTATATTTTTATATTCTTATTTTGTCACGTCGTAAAAATGCCCTCATTGTCATTTAAATAACAGCAGTAACATTAACATGCAAACTAGTATATTCATAATTAAAAAGCCTTGTCAAAACGTTATTTTACACCTTATATTCGAGCTTATGTTATTTGGCAATAAAGTGATGAGTGACGTTCGATGTTATTCTTATTTATGCTGTAACTGTATGTGTTTTAGTAGATTTAGTATTCATATAAAAATAAAAGAAGTAAACACTCTCAATACGTATTATGGTGTGAACAAAGAATAAACAACAGTACATACACGTGCCTAACTGTGATAACGAACTAATAGTTTCCTGCCTCACACATTTATCACATCTGTGTAAAATGTTTCATGCTGTATCATGTTAAAGTGTACGTACATTTGATCATAGGCTTCGGCATCACCAGAATTAGCTCGCTCAGTTTCCACAAGCTTCCACTCACACGTACTATTATCAGTTGGCTGGTTGTTATAGTAATGAAATAAAATATTACCACGGGCATGAGTAAAACAGACGTAACAGTGAGACCGGTAGGTGGCGTTCTTTATTAACCAATTGTTATCGGTTATGGAATTATCGTGAATGTGAAGTGCAGCTCCTGTTTGTAAAAAAAAAATCTCGAATATGTTAAATAGTTCGGGCGTGGTGTGTTGGACGTAACCATCTATATGTATACCAAGACAACAACAATGAGTAAACAGCTGGGTTTGGTTGGTAGGCGTGATAATGAGTACACTAGTTTCCATGCCAACTATTTAACACATAAATTGTTCAAACATCCAGGTGAGACATTGTATGGGTTAGCGTGTTAGCCTCCTATCAAGTATAACATAATAATTCCTTCAGATTTGGATTCATCCCAAACATCTCAAAAAATATAGAAAATATTCAGTCCTTTCCAAAACCGTTATTCAAGGAAAATATAACCCGAAAGTTGATTAGTTGGATAACGAGAACCTAAAATTTATTAGTGACGTTGTTCTAAATCCTCCACTTTTACCTACAGGTCTCTAGTTTATGACTCGGTATAGTTTGATTTACTCGATGTTTTAGTTTTAAAAGCGACAAGGATATTGTTTTAGAAACCACGCTTGTTGATAGCAATGTGAAAATACGCTTGATATTGTTTCAATACAGGCATCACTCGTGGGAATTCTGACAACGCTCATGATGGGTGTCCGTACGAGCGATATGACATCCCCGTAATTTTTTTTAATAAAAACAGACATTCTCCTAAAACACTTCATGTTTTATTTTATTCTTAAAAGGCGTATTAATTACTCCGAAAAAAAAGTATCCTAAAACAGTAAAATACAACAGCTTAGAATAAAAACAGACACGTTTTTAAATAAAAAATATGTGTGTTTGTAAACTTTGTATTTTATTAACATAAATATAA